CTTACCAACCCACACCTATGCCCACTTTTGTTCCAGTCTCGAGGCTGTTTTTGACTGTATTTGGAATCAACCGATGCACGCCACGCCCACTGTGGGCGGGGCTCCGCTTGGCTGATGTGTGTTTTTTACTTCTAGGGATATGGTATACCCATCCCAAACTTGACCTGGACCCTGTAGGTTGTTGTTCGCTTGATACCGAATTTCGTGACAGACGGACAGACAGACATAGCGCATTATATATAGTATATAGTAGGGATACGACCACTCAAAAAGTGATGCAGGCACTCAAATAATGGTGCATACATGTTTCTGTTATTCGATGTTTTATTTTAGAAATCGCATGATAGTTACAGCTAGTGATCTGAACCGGCTTTCTCAAACTAAAACATAATCGACTACGTCTTGGAGGATTCCCTACAAGCGTCTTCAACTGGCTGAAATGACAGTCGACAACACCGTGAAAGGTGACGCCTCGAGCGAAAGTGACCACAGTCAGCTGCAGCAACAGCTGTAAACTGGATTTGAAAATATCAACGTCGTCCAGTCTCCCCCCCCCCTTCACCACCAACTTATTCTAAGCATTTTTGATGTAAGGCAGAAACTGTCAACAAGTCGCGTGCCATACTATTCAATCGACACTGTTCTAGCGGATCAAACGAAAATTTCAGCGGCAATAAAAAGGAAACACACAAATGCTGGGAATCGACATTTAGAAACCTTACCGCAAACGTTTGGGCCAAGCTTGTAATATCATGCAATAGTGCCCAAAAACTCCATTTCACGTTTCCTTCAAAGTTTAAATCTAACTCACAATATTCCACGGCACGTTCATCAAAACCGCAATGCCGAAATGAGATCGTCTTAAGATTCTTCAATCTGTCGTTCATGAAGTGAAGAAGATCAGCTGTCACAATCAACTGAAGGAAATGATCTGAACTTTGTGCCAATTTCCTCGACAAAACATTGTAATGAGTATAAAATCAGCGCAGAATTGTCACACAATTGAAATTATTTGTAATGGAGATAGTGAGTTGACTTTGATCTTGAATTTTGTTGATCTTACTTGGTGGTTTTGAACTCCAGTACTGTACAAGTCCACCCCACCAAGCTTGACGTTTTTGATGCCTAGAGCAAATCGCTCCGCCATTCCGTTAAGCGTATTCACTGTAGCAGCAATTATTCGATTCAGAAATTGGCAAACGCGAAGATTAGTTAACAAAATGAAACTCACTCAATTTTAAAGGTTGCGTCGTACAGCGTCCACCGATTTCTCTTCTACTGTCAAGAGTTGTTGATGGTAAAACAAACCAGACATCACCAATCTCAACAGAGACGTATGAATTCAGAGTCTGCAACTGTAACTATTTCTTAATAAGTTTCGAAACATAGAAGTTCCTTAGGCTGAGTGTCAGAGTCCGCGATCCTTTGCGCGATTTTCGCGATTTTCGCGATTGCGCGATTTGCGCGATTTTCGCGATTTGCGCGATTTTCGCGATTTTCGCGATTTGCGCGACGGGTCACGGAAATTACAAGTGCCCCATCCATACTGCAAGGTGTTCTCCAATCCCGCCGTCACTTCTGCTTGATGGTTATGGTTTAATGGAGACTGCTCATGATTCCACTTGTTTCATATCCAGTGTTTCAATTGTTCAAATGGGGCACTTGCAATTTTTGTGATTGGTTTGGTTTGATTCCTGAAAAAAAGGAACGATTCAAGAGCATTTCAATGAACTAATAGACATTGAACATGAAACAAGTAGAACCACAAACATTCGTCTTCCAATCTTTACTGCCAAGCAGAATTCGCAGCAGGATTAAACAACACCTCGCAGTATTCATCGGGCACTTTCCAACTCCTGTGATCCATCGCAGTTTTCGCGCAAATCGCGAAAATCGCGCAAAATCGCGAAAATCGCGCCAAATTGCGAAAATATGGCAATCGTAACTCGGCGGAAATCGGCGGAAATCGCGAAAACCTCGGCGAAGAGCGGGATGTTGACTACTTACACCAGACTTATGAACCTCTTCAACCTCTATTGGCTTTTTATCGGTGAGACTATGCCGGCCCTCTCAGCTTTATCCCAAAGTAGTTCATTCTTTTCAACACATATATTATTAACTATGTTTTCTTTGTTCATTTTGAGGGGGAGAGGTGCGCCGTGTCACGTGGCGCTGGTCACTGGCATGCAGCTCGGCCAACATTCGTCTTCGTCGGCTACTTAATTTGCTGGCTACGTGGCGTGCATGTTAAGGGACAAATCTTCATTCCCAATTCATAAAGATTCTAAAAAAAAGTCGAATGCTTTGTGCGAGGCACCTCCTCCGAAACATTCCCCTTCCCCAAACGACAACCGGAATACGACCGAACGCCCTTCCTACCTCTCATTTATTTTGACCGCACCTCGTTTCTGCATGAATCCTGGAGAACAAAACCAGCACATGAACCAGCAACTAACCCTTTGGCACAATCGTCATCGCTTCAGTCGTAGGCTAACAAGGACGTGTTAATTTGAGCGCAAATAGTGCTTGTTAGGAGTGGGTGTCGACCAGAACGCTAAAGCCTCCATTTTGATATATAAGCTCTTCTTGGCCGAGCAAAACGGTTCGCACACCCTGGGAGTCGTTCCCTAACAGAAAAACTGGGTCACTGTTGCAGGAATGAACAACTGCGCCGCGATGTCCCCACCCATCTTTCATTTACTACACCAGCGCCACAAATTGTGTTCAGAAACTCTTGAATAAATATACTTTTACTGTTTATTGTCGACTGCTGTTTTTGGCCGCAGTTCGCCTTGCGAATGTTTCACAAGAATGCTGGGTTGTGAACAAAACTTTCGCCCCAGGCGGGACTAGAACCCGCACCTCTCGCTTACCGGGCAAGTGCGCTACAAGTTACGCTACCGGGGCACCATTTCATCCAACTCAGCTCTTCACGGTATATTTAACATAGCTTGTTTGTTTCGTTCACATCCCACTTTCTTGTGGATTTTCATTATTAAACGCAACTGGTGAGTGGCGCCACTCGCCCGGTCCGGGAGTCAAATTTCGGATCGATTCGCTTAGGCCAACGAAGCCTTTGCACTTCCAGGGTCATTTACTCCGTTCCAGAATTGTCTGAGGGAACGAAAACACTGGGATGTATACCCGCCGGTCGGCTGCAAGTCACTGTATAGGTCGTGCTGCATTCCAATGCCACTACGATACTAAATGGAAGTAGAGTGGTGGCGTACCTCAAAAAATATCGATCAACGCCAGAGCTTTTTCCTTTTTAACGTTGTGTATTAGTGGTTTGTACAAAAGTGTAACTTGCCTTGAAGCTAAGTTTGAGAGTTTCTCCTCCTGATTTGAACCTCCACATAGATGTCCTACTTATATACCGAAGTCTCGACGAGCTCATTTCTATATGGATTCTGTCCTTGAACAAAACCAAAATCAGAAAATGAAAAAAGCAAATAAACGGCCAAAAATCAAAAAGGACAAAGTCGCATTCATATGAGCTGAAGTGAACTCACATTAATATCTGTCACAAAGCTAACTATGTGTCGCATAAGCAGGTCATTGTTGTAAACTTCAGCAATGACATCAGGATCAGCTACCGGTGAACTGTAAGAACTCTTAGCTTGGCTCGCACTGTGACCCGCATTGCCTGGAATACGCAGGGTTTACTTAGACATGAGACGTGTTACAACTACTTCAACAGTGTTTGAAACAACTTGAGCAAAAATGCAACTGCACGGCACTATTGCTCCAGCCGATTTTTCAACAACAATGCTTCATGATCGCACTTTGAGGTATGAGTCACTCGTACCGCCTACCCTGGCGCCCATAAATACCGCCCCTTTTAGTCCGCTCAAATAGCTGGGCTCGAGGAGGCAGCAGTGTCCACGAGTTCTGCGCCAGCGGTCTTCTCTCAAGCACCGGCGGCCTCCAGACAAGCAACAGCAATCTCACAAGCACCAGTGCAATCAATAATCGCAGAATAAGTATCGGAGCAGCGTCCGCTA